ATTCAAATTCAAAAATCATTTATTCATGTAGGACATTTTAGCCGCTTATGAACGTCAAATTTTAACATTCTAAATTTATTTTTTTCCCTACTCCAGTCCAGTCCAGTTTGATTTTGAAGTGGTTTTTTTTAATAGATAGAGTGATTCAAGAGACAGGTTTATATAATACATATACACCTGTGCGAAGCCGGGGCGAGTAGCTAGTTAATAATATTTAAGTCTTCACACTTTGCATACATTTGTCGGCCTCGATGATGTAGTGGTTTAACATATCGCCTTACTTCGAATGGTCGTGGGTTCGATTCCGCGCACGATCAAATATCTGTATTCCTTAGTACGATTGTTTTTTTTTCCTGTGTACAATTAACATAGCGCTATTTAGTCCCATGGTAAGCAGAACTATTGTTATGGGTACTAGACATCTGATATAATTTTTTTTAATACATACATAATATAAATAGAAAATACCCAGACCGATACAAACAATCATACTCATCAATAGAAATTTTTGCACCGTGAGAGGAATCGAACCCGCGACCATCGGAAGTAAATTGGTATCCTAAATCGCTAGACTACCGAGAGCGTCAAGAACAGAATAAGAATTAATTAATAGTTATATAGATAGATAGATAGATAGATAGAATGTATGTATAGATAGGTATATACAATAATAATAAATGTAATATCATAGATACACAGAGTAAAAATACAGATCATAGCAATAGGTAGGTACAGTATATTAGGTTTCTTAATAACAGTTTTGTACGTATTTGTTTGTAGCATGTAATGTGTAATAGATATGAATATAGATTTTATCTATCTAAGTAGAATATGAGTATTCTACGTAGATAGATAAAATAATATACTATTATTAGCCCAAGAGCCCACGACGGCCAGACATACGTCATATTAGTAAACGTGAAAGTTCTTGTATGTGTGTCCCCAACACAGGTAAGAACGATCTCCAAACATGAAACCTGGATCGTGGTTCCTTTGGCAGGTAACAGGTAACAAAGGTGTAAAAAATTTCATATCAAATTCGTTATTTTAAGAAACTCCATATTTTCATATATTGTTCGTAGCATTATTATAACTTGCGCTGCTCATTGCCAGACACTTAGTGTGGTTCCAACCCCCCGCCGGACCCCCCTAAACTATACTATTTTATAAATAAACTTACGTTATTTTAATAAAGCTGAAATTGTATACACCGTTGTTACCCAATATACGGTTTCAATGAGTCTGGTAGAATAGAAAATAGAATAGAAAATCATTTATTCAAATAAACTTAATTTAAGCACTTTTGAATAGTCATAACAATTTGTTTTTTATCTACCACTCGTTCGGAAAGCTGTCTCATCACAAGAAGAACGAGCAAGAAACTTGTGTGTTGCTCTTTTAAATAATCCTTGTAAGTTTACATTTACAAGTCGAAACGTGTGAATACAAACTACCAACAAGCACTAATTTTTGGGTCAAATATAAATATGCAATAAGATTAAATCAGTCGTAGTGATAAGAGCAGACCAGTCCCTACAAGTAGCACTCGTTCACGAGTATGACGGATGAGCCAGCCATCACTGCGCTCGACCATATTTTAGGGAGCCCATTGACCCGGCCCACCACGCCGCCACATGTCTGGACATTTTAGTGAGCATGACTACTCATTCCACACGACCACGTCACAGCTACAAAAATTACTATATGGTAGTTACAGTATTCGCACTTTACATAAGGATGCATGCGGCAATCAATATTAAAAGCCGCTACGCTATCATATATCAAGAAAGCAGTATGAAAATTAAAATTATAACGTTGTCCGCAAATAAACTTATTCTTGCTATATATTGCTATCATCTATAAATTCATCTATCTTATTTATTTATTTATTTATTTATTTGAAACCAACAGCATACACAATACATAAAAACAGAAAGTACAAAACAATAGTATAGCTAATAATAGGTTTCACAATATCAGTAAAAAAATTTAACAAAGTGACGGACTTCACACAAAAGATAACAGGAATACATTCCGATGCTTGAAATGACCTAGGCCGCGTAATATGGGAGTTCATAATTCGCAGCATACGTCAGACTGTTCAGGACCGATAGTAATTATTATGTATCCCTGCTACCATTACATACATAACTATATATGATTATAATTTTACATGTTACATTTAAACGTAAAATAAGTATATTTTATACAAACTTAAACAATATATTTCAATACCCAACAAAAATAACACAAAAACAAAAATTGCATATTATAATAGGCTTTTTTACATAACATTTGTTTAATATAAGATTTGAATTGCCTCTCTGTAAGATTTAGCGTAGACTCTGGCAGTTTATTATAGAATCTTACGCAATTACCATAAAATGAATTACTAACTTTGTGTAGACATATGGGCATTTAGGTAAAATTAGCTTATTTTTATTGCGTAAGTTTCTACTTGTACAGTCTTTAAGTTTCTTGAAACTATCTAAGTTTTTCCTTGTATACATAATATTTTCATAAATGTACTGTGAGGCAACGGTGAGGATATTTGATTGTTTAAAGCATTGACGTAATGACTCTCTAGAACCCATACCATAAATAGAACGTATGGCTCTCTTTTGTAAAATAAATATAGTATTTATATTAGTTTTTACCCCATAGCAGTATGCCATATGACATAATGCTATGGAAATAACTAAAATATACAAGTTTTGCCGTCGCCACGTCTGTTAATTGCCTTATCCTTCTAATTGCATAAGCAGCAGAACTAAGTCTACTGGCTAATTTTGAAATATGGGGCCCCCATTGTAACTTCGAGTCCACTGTTATTCCTAAAAAAACTGTATCATTAACAAAATTTACTATTTCATCATTAAGCAATAGCTGCGTATTTACTTGTTTTACATTAGGCAGCGTGAATTTAATGCACTTAGTTTTGTTGGAGTTCAATAATAGATTATTACATGTGAACCAATTTAGTATAGCAGAGATAGCATAATTTACATCGTCTAATTGATTACATTGGCGACCAATTTTAAACACTAACGAAGTATCATCCGCAAATAACACTATATCTGCAACTTTCTCTACCATGTAGGGAAGGTCATTTATATAAATTAAAAAGAGAAATGGCCTAATATTGAACCTTGAGGAACGCCCATTTTTATATTAGTTCCCTTAGACTTTACACCATCAATATCTACAGTTTGCACCCTATCCTCTAGATAAGTTTTCATTAGACTTAGGTCATTATCTCTAATACCATAATATTTGAGCTTGTACAAAAGTGTTTCATGATCTACGCAATCAAACGCCTTCGACAAGTCACAAAAAACGCCGAGAGCATCCTGTGAGTTTTCCCATGATTCGAATATATGTGTAATAAGCGCTACACCTGCATCAGTAGTAGACTTGCCGGCAGTGAAACCATATTGCTGACTGTGAAGCAGTCCGTTATCCCTGAAGTATTTTAACATTTGGTTAAACATAATCTTTTCAAATACTTTACTTAGAACTGGCAAAATAGAAATTGGTCTATAGTTGCCTAGCTCAAATCTATCTCCAGATTTAAAGAGTGGAATTAATTTGCTAAATTTCATTAATTGAGGAAACACGCCATTATCAACACATTTATTGAAAATAGTAGCTAGATAAGGAGCAACAATATCGATGAATGTACTAACTACTTTAACTGACATGTCCCAGAGATCTTCCGTATTTTTTAAATTTAACTGTTTGAATATTTTTAGGTAGGATAAGAAAACCAAGAAAACTGTCTGGCAATTTAAGAAACTCAGTTTAATAGTTCTCTCAATACCACACTAAGTGTCTGGCAATGAGCAGCGCAAGTTATAATAATGCTACGAACAATATATGAAAATATGGAGTTTCTTAAAATAACGAATTTGATGAAATTTTTTACACCTTTGTTACCTGTTACCTACCAAAGGAACCACGATCCAGGTTTCATGTTTGGGGATCGTTCTTACCTGTGTTGGGGACACACATACAACAACTTTCACGTTTACTAATATGACGTATGCCTGGCCGTCGTGGGCTCTTGCTCTCTATTAAAATGATCCATTATCACTATGAAACATAGTAAAAATCTGAAAATAAATTCCAAAAATAATAATAATACTATATTGATGATGTACACTCGCAAATGATATTCAATTTAACACTTTCTTTTCTGATTCATGATACATTAATATTATAAGTTCTTACTAATATTATAAATGCGAAAAAAATTAATGATTCTGCCTGTATGTCTGTCCCGCTTCACGACAAAACTACCGAACCGATTTAAATGAAATTTGGTAAACAAATAGCCTAGCCGCTGAGAAAGGACATGGGCTACTTTTTAATGCGAAATAGGAGGCTGAAAGGGGAGATGATAGGACGTATGTTAGAAGCTTAAAACGTATTCTTTAGGCTGTTGAGTAAATATAAATGAATATGACACTCCAAGTTTGGAAACATATTACCCTTCAGAGGGTAAAATAAAATAGGGAACGATACCTTGTAGGGAAATTCGTAATTTCTGAAGATAGAACGATGACACTTTTTTCTTTGGTTTTTTTTTTGGGTAATAATTATTAATATTTTTTTTATTATTAATTAATTAATTTTGGTTAATAATCTAATTAAATATTTGTTCTTTATTTAGTCAAGGCCTTTGTTCCACGCGGACATAGTCGCGGGTATGGATACTTTTTAATATATTCAATAATGTTATAACTATGTAATATTATGTTATCTGTGGTTATAACTGAATTTCGCTTTGGTGCACCGTCTTCTGAACCTTTTGACAAAACTGTCATGTGATTTATGGATAGAAAAGTTTCGAGTGCTGAAGAAGATGTTGACCTGTTTTAAGATAATGTATACAGAAATTTTCAATATAATAATATCTATTCCTGGACATTAAATTCCAGGCTTGTTACTTTAATTTCTTATATACTACACTAGATAATGTATCCAGAATGAACACTTACTGTAAGGCTGTGGTCTGCCACCGGTATATTGAGGCGATTGTAGGAGAGGAGCGCTTCTCTGCACTGGCTGGACATCTTCAGACACTGTGGACAAGGATATGATTATATTAATTAACTAGCTGTACAGGCGATTTCGTCCGCGTGGAATTTAACTTTATTTTTCCAAAAAAAAGTAGCCTAAGTTACTCCTTATTACATTAGGTACATGCCAATAAAAAGTCCTGTCAAAATCGGTCCAGCCATTTCAGTGATTAGCCGTAACTTGAAGACAGGCAGACAAAAATTGTAAAAAATGTTATTTTGGTGTATTTATATTCATATGCATTTAGTAAAAAACGGTTATTTCAATATTACAAACAGACACTCCAGTTTTATTTATATGTATAGATAATAATAATAATAACATTGCGAATCCCCTCCTGCACAATAGAACTTGTAATAGTTCTAGCTGAAAGCAATCATTCTCAACACATGCCGTATTGTAAAAAAATTTTTTTCTCCATCACCATCATCATCATCATATAACTCATCCACGCTTGGCTGAGGCCCGCGTGTGTTGAACGTATTACCACCGTAAAAAGGGATATATATATATAAAACATATATAAAATAATAATACGGTAGGGAAAAAAAATATAATGTAAAAACTTGACGTTCATAAGCGGCTAAAATCTCCTACATGAATAAATAATTTTTGAATTTGAATTTGAATTTGATAATAATCTCAGGACAATTCACACAGCGCCATCTATACCCAAGTTAAGCTAGCTAAAGCTTATGTTATGCGTACTAGATAACTGATACATATACATAGACATATTTATCGAAAAATATAAACACCTAGACCGATACGAACAATCATACTTATGAATATAAATGTTTGTACCGTGCGAGGTCGGAATCATCGAACCCGCTACCATCGGAAGCAAGGTGTGCTAAACCACTTGACCACCGACGCTATCATACTTATACATACTATTAACAACGGCGTGTTACCTATATTGGATTTTTTAGATTTTTTACTACGATGTCAACGTGTATAAAAAAGACTTAATGTCGTTTTTTATTTTTTATACGACTAAATCAACATTTTGCTGTTTCAACTCCATCTAGCAGCCAGTAGTGAAGTTAAACGAGCGAAACCGCGGGTAAAAGCTAGTACAACACATAAAATGATAACTTTTAAATTGCACTAACGCTGAATGGAACGCGTGATGATATAAACGAATGAGGTCACCGACACAAAGACGAAAATATGTAATAAGGGTATGTTGTAATTTGGTGTAATGCGTGCATCATAACACCGAGCAATATCTGGCGGGCGATCATTTGTCTACATTACAAAATGTGACTAAGTGCCTGGTTTATTTACGGCGGGAAATTTAAAAATACGCCTCCGTCGCTTGGTAGAGTCACCGAAAAAAATATAGCAATTTCTTTTTACAATTCACAAAACGCGGTCTTGTTTTAAGTTAAGTTGAGCTTCTGTTATGGATACTAGATTACATACTTTTTTTGTAAATATATAAATAATATACATATAAAACACCCAGACTAATACAAACATTATTTACGGCTAAAAGTTTAAAAATACGATCTCAGTCGCTGGGTTGAGTCACCGAAAAAAATATAGCAATTTCTTTTTACAATTCACACAGCGCCGTCTGGTTTTAGGTTGAGCTGAGCTTGTGTTATGGGGAATAGACTACTGGATCATTTGTCTACATTACAAAATGTGACTAAGTGCCTGGTTTATATACGGCGGGAAATTTAAAAATACGCCTCCGTCGCTCGGTAGAGTCACCAAAAAAAAATATAGCAATTTCTTTTTACAATTCACAAAGCGCCGTCTGGTTCTAAGTTAAGTTGAGTTTGTGTTATGGGGACTGGACTACTGGATTATTTGTCTATAGTACAAAATGTAACTAAATGCCTGGTTTATATACGGCGGGAAATTTAAAAATACGCCTCCGTCGCTCGGTAGAGTCACCAAAAAAAAATATAGCAATTTCTTTTTACAATTCACAAAACGCGGTCTTGTTTTAAGTTAAGTTGAGTTTGTGTTATGGAGGACTAGAATAATATAAATACATCTTTTTTAAATACATACATAATATACATATAAAGCACCCAGACTAATACAAACATTATTTACGGCTAAAAGTTTAAAAATACGATCTCAGTCGCTGGGTTGAGTCACCGAAAAAAATAAAACAATTCACACAACGCCGTTTAGTTTTAAGCTAAGCTGAGCTTGTGTTATGGGGACTAGACTACTGGATTATTTGTCTATAGTACAAAATATAGCAATTTCTATTTACAATTCACACATCGCCGTCTAATTTTAAGTTGAGCTGAGCTTGTGTTATGGGGACTAGACTAATGGATTATTTGTCTATAGTACAAAATATAGCAATTTCTATTTACAATTCACACAGCGCCGTCTAATTTTAAGTTGAGCTGAGTTTATGTTATGGGGACTAGACTACTGGATTATTTGTCTATAGTACAAAATATAGCAATTTCTATTTACAATTCACACAGCGCCGTCTAATTTTAAGTTGAGCTGAGCTTGCGTTATGGGGATTAGACTACTTTGGGGACTAGAATAATTGTCTATATTACAAAATGTGATTAAGTGGCTGATTTATTAAAGGCGAAAAATTGAAAAATACGCCTCTGTCGCTTGGTAGAGATACCGAAAAAAATATTATTTTTTACAATTCACACAGCGCCGTTTAGTTACAAGCTAAGCAGAAGTTATGTCACGGAACGAAAATGCAAACAGTTTAATACTTAATATAAATAATTCTTGTTTATTACATCTTTAGTGTTTTTTCAAATAAAATGACTGCCAATAAGAAGAGTAGCCAATTCAGAAAACCTAACGCATATTAAATAACAGATACTAAAACTCCAAACTGCATTTCAACTGTCTCCTAAAAGAGACACTCCATGTTAATTTACTGAGCGAAACGATCGCGGAACGATCTTAGAATCAGATTTGCACTCTTTGTAACGATACTACTCCAAAACGGCTTGATCGAGACGACCAAAATTTCATTGAAGATCTAATTTCAGGCCTCCATCGTTTACCACTCAAAAAAATCCGATCGGTTAAGGTCGAGTTTTTAGGAACAAACGCGCTCCCGCTCAACATATGTCCTGGTGTGTAAACAACACAACCAACGGTACAAACCTAGTAATAATTGTACGTCTGAATTCAGTCTTTCTGCTGAACAAAATAAAATAATAATAATATTCCAGGACAATTCACATAGCGCCGTCTAATCCCAAGCAGATCTTGTGTTATGGGTACTAGACAAATGATACAAATAAATAGACACTTTTTTGGTAAATGCATATATGATATACATAGAAAACATCCAGACCGATACAAACAATCATACTCATGAATACAAGTTTGTGCCATGCGAGGAATAGAACCCGCGACCATCGAAAGTAAAGCGGTGTACTATCCGTTAGACCACCGTAGCCATCAATCAAAACAAAGCAGCTACTGTGGTTGTTAAAATAGAGCAGGTACCAAATAAGCCTGACATTGGTGGTATTACAGTAGAACCAACTCTCTTGAATTCACTCAACACTAATAACTTTGTTGTAGTAGATTTATTTCAATAATATATCGTAAATATCACTGAAATGATTGATACCATTGAAAAAGAAATTGCTGCCAAATGTTTAAAGAAAATTACGGCGACCGCCAGTAACGTTGACTGGACGATTGAAATATCAACACGGAGTGGTAAGAAACATCGTTATACCACAAAGACACGTTTATAAATAACGTCGGGAGATATTTCAGTGATGAATGCTGAAAATATGTCGTTGGACACACTTTAAGTTTAGATAAGCGAATTGTGATTAAATAAACAAATGGTAATAGTAATCTCTCAGATTTAGACTATCCATTAGCTCAGTTAGTCCACAGCTTCCAAATAATAATGATTTAAACAAACACTAAAAAAGTATAAACACAAGGAAAATTCAGGGCCGTCCAAAACTGCCGTTTGTCCACACACTTTTGAAGTCGCCTACAAACGAGATGGGGTTTGCCCTACACCATCTCCATGCGGGTCAATGCAGCCGGAGTCGCGGTAAAATGCCAATCTATTAATAATGTTACCTAAATATACTGCTAATATTATTCCATATAGAACAATATTTTATTCTATCATACTTTTACTCTTAGCAATTTTGAAAGAATGCAACAAAGTGCTAATCAGCACTTTGTTATGTAATATGTATATAATAATATATATAAACACATAATAACATCAAGTGCAATTTCTATTGCAACTTTGTTATATAAATGACTAGCTACTTGCCTCGGCTTCGTTCGGGTATACATATATTATACATATAAACCTTCATCTTGAATCACTCTATCTATTAAAAACCGCTTCAAAATCCGTTGCGTAGTTTTATAGATTTAAGCACACATAGGGACGGACAGATGGCGACAGCGACTTTGTTTTATACGATGTAATCTATACATAAAAACAAAATTGGAGTATCTGTTGAAAGAACAGTTTTTTACTACATGCATACGAATATAAATACGGTACATACACCAATACAACATTTTTTACAATTTTTGTCTGTATGTCTGTCTGTTTGTTCCGGCTAATCTCTGAAACGGCTGGACCGATTTTGACGGGACTTTTATTGGCAGGTAGCTGATGTAATAAGGAGTAACTTAGACTACCTTTATGTTAGAAAAATCTTTGATTTTAGAAAAATTAAATTCCACGCGGGCGAAGTCTCAGGTACAGTTAGTATTACATAAATCTAGAAGTACTCTAGACTCTAGAGTATGACGTACTTCAAAATTTAATCAGATTATTAAAATTTTCCTATAAAAAGTCAAGAAATACACTTGATGTTTTATCAGATGAAAACAAATCAACTTGTATGTTTTATTTAGTAATTCTTATGCAAACATTGAATATATCAGTAAATAAAGGCACGTACCATTGACAATAGCAAAATTGCTCGTGACGGATTCCAAAACAAATTTACAGATGAAATAAGATCAGGCACAGATCAAATTTATCATTTCA